TCTTAGAAATCATTATATAAATGGTAAGTATGTGGATGTATTTTTCCTAAGTATTCAAGATTATTTTTCATTTTTTTCTAGTCACTTGAATCTTACATTCAGCTTTTCATCTGTGTTCCTTGTGCTCATCTTCCTATGGAAGGCACTCAAACCCATTCTTCTTGTCTTTGAACATCTGTTCCTGCCTCATCTATTTGCCTCAGCTGATAGAGTTTTACCTCTTCTGCAGCTCTAATCTCTTTCACCTGTCACTTGAAGAGTTCTAGGTTAGACAATTTTGCAAAAGAACAATGAACCTGGCTGGTTCATTCTGGGTCAAGGCACATGCCAGGTTGCGGCTAGATCCCCAGTGGGGGGCATGTAGGAAGTAGCTGATCAATGACTCTCTCTCATCGTTGATGTTTCTCTCTCTCTCTCCCTCTCCTTTCATCTCTCTGAAATCAATAAAAACATGTTTTAAAAAACAATGAAATCAGGAAGTTGTTCTCTGCTTGCCTAGTGAAACAATTTTTCCATCATGAACAGGAAAGACCTTCAGTTTTTACCACTCTAGTATTTCTAGGAAACTGAATTTTCTTATGGAAACCAGAAAGACTGCCAACCAGCTGGAGTAATTCTTCCTTTTACTTTTACACTAAATGGGCACCTGAGCTACAGAAAGCAAGAAGTAGAAGTGGTCTTATTTATGATTCCTCTTTTACAATCTGCTATACACATTAAAAAGTACTGAAAAAAAGGGGACATCTGTAATATTTTCAACAATAAATTTATAAAAAAGTACTGGATTAGGAATCAAGGAGGCCTGAATTGAAGACAAACTCTGTTTCCTCAAAACTTGCTTGAGCAAATCATATTATTTATCTGTGCCTTGTTTTTCCTCTTTTAAAAAATTGGTGCCCGGCCTGGCGTGGCTCAGCAGTTGAGCCTCGACCTAGGATCCAGGCGATCAGGGTTCGATTCCCGGTCAGGGCACATGCCCAGGGTGTGGGCTCGATCAATGACTCTCTCATCATTGATGTCTCTCTCTCTCTCCCTCTCCTTTCCTCTCTCTGAAGTCAATAAAGATATATATATATTTTTAAAAAAATTGGTGAATAGAGGATAATGCCTACCCTGGTTGCCTCAGATTACTTTAAGTATAAGAAACATTTTGTAAATTATGAAATTCCATCCAAATCGAGTTATATTAGGCAATATGGGATTTATATCACTCTATATTAGAATGTTCATTTCCATTACACAAACAGAAGCAAAATATAGACTTCTAGTCTCAATTCCAAACTTATTCTATCAGAATCTATAGAGGTAAGGCAAGCCATCTGTATTTTTAACAATTTGAGAAATACTATATAATACTACACCATTTGCATTTCTGGTGCACTCCTTTCTTCCTACTTCAGTGGAAGTTTAACTGTTATGTACCATTTAATTTTCTAATCATCTTGAAATAATTTACTAAAAAGTAACAAAAATCTTGTATTGTCACAAAACCACCCAAATTAACATTAAAAATTAAATAATTTATATTTCAATTGCAAATTATTTTATAAAGGTTTTTAACTTTAAAAAAGCAAAGCTTGTTACGTGCAACACAGTGCATTGCAAAATATTTAGAGAACTAAGAATGATTAATCATGAAAATAACTCAATTTCCTGGGGGAATTATAATTTACCACATTAACTTCGTTCATGTCAAACATTAACACATTCAGTAGTGGCTGAGTTAAGATACTGCATTGGTTCTTTACATCTCAATTATCACAGTAAAAATTCACAGATACTTTAAAACACATCTTTCTAACTATCAATTTATCAATACATGACTGATATTGCTTCAGTTAAACCTTCATGTTTAGCGTTAGCTAAGTTCCAAAAGAACAATTTGGGAGGTCCTATGCCTATCATCTTCATAGCCCTGTTATACAGGTGAAAGAGGAAAGTAGTTGCCTGCTTAGGTGAGACAGGGTAGGAGTTATTACTAAATCCAGTAGAGTGTAAGAAACAAAGCTAAGATCCAAGATAACCCAAAACTATAACAAATATGAATAAATTTCCAGATTTCATCCTAACATGTTTAGGAGACTGAAGTTATTGATCTTAAATGTTTAACCACTGTATCCAATAATAACACTTAATATATTCTCAGAGACTATATTAACCTGAACAACACAAATATCCATCAGGAAAATGGGTGAATAAATTATGATATATTCACACAGTGCCATACTCTCAAACAGTGAAAATTAATGAACTATGGTCACATGCAATAACACAGGTAAAGAACATCATGAGTTACAAAAGCAAGTCAAGAAGAAAATGCAGTATGATTTCATTTACACCAAGTTGAAAAACATGCAACATTAAATAACATAATATTTAGGTACGCAAATACTATGGTAAAACAATAAAGAAAAACAGGAAAATTATAAATTTGAGACAGATTGCCTCTAAAGAGGGAAGGAAAGGAATATGATTAGGAAAAGGGGTACACAAGGGAATTTAAAGGGAATGCCCATTTTCTTAAATTGGGTGACAGGCCACAGGTGATTCCTGTATTGCATTTGTTTATTCTGTACTCATGTTTTGCAAACACTATTTTATAGGTATTCAATATTTAACAAAACAATTAAAATTTGATGTCTTTCCTTTCTATATTTTCTTGTAATAAAACAAGTTTACGATTTTAACAAATTTCAATTCCTTGTTTTCAACAGCAGCAGTTACAATTGAATATAGATATATATTTTAGTTCTATTACTATGCCTAAGATTAAAAAATCTAAATCTAACTTTAAGAAATAAGATCTTCAATAAAAATTAGAGTAATTTTTGGAGTCAAAATTAGTTCATAACTCATTTTTTATCTTAAAAACTTAATCTTTTAAGATATAGGCTATGCATATATTTTTTTCACTTCAGATGGACATAAGTAACAAATTTCCTTACTGAACAAAGGTCTTCAGATCTTGATTTTACTAAAAACCTAATCCTATCCTAAGGAAGCCTTTCTTAAGAAATTCAACAATATGGAAAACACTTTAAAATATTTTTTTTAAAGGCTTGTTCTTATTGGTTACCTAATTATAACTACAAAATATTTACATAAAACCTCATCATGCTTAAGCTTTAGTGGATTCTTCTGGTGTACATGTGGATTTATTGAAAGGACTGTGTTAATACATATTAAGCTCCTAGGGAATAACTTTAAAAAACATTTTTTTACCTTTATACCAAATTCTCAAACAGTGAAATACATTGGTTAGCATGGAAAGTGATAAAACAATGAAACCTACCAAGTTTTGTCTGTCTCTTTGGAAATACATCTTACTTCTCAAATACACACACACACACACAGATAAAAAAATAAAAATAGTATTTATACTGTTTCACCTATGGAAGTGGTTTCCAGATTAACCTTATAGTCAAAAAGGTTTGTTTTCTCAGCATCAAGGATTTATAATTAGGTACTAGTCTGAAGCCAACCAATCATCATTTACTGAAGAGTAAAACAGTAGCTTTTAGAACCATTTTGGATCAATAGGAAAACATCCTAAAAATAAAAAGCAGCTCAGCTTATTATGTACTCATTATTTTCCCCACATATTGAAATTTTAAAGATGAGGAAAATTTTAAAGCCAAACTTATAAAATTCCTCACTAAGAGAATGACTATTCTAGCTATTTCCCCCAAAGTAACATCCCTTATCTCTTCCTTGGAATTTCCAATAGTTCTTAATTAAAATGCAGTGACAACAGCGTCAAAAATCCCCTTCGTTCCCATAAATCTAGAGATGGCGTCTTATAAATTATCTTTAGTTTTAATAAGTCACATATAAAACACCAACTGCTGTTTAGTATCTCGATTAACCTCCCCGCCCACTATAGTTTAGAGATTGAGTAGTAATTTTCGTATTTTACACCATCTATTGTAAAAAATAATAATATATTACGAATATATATATCTCACAGCAACTTTACCTCTTAAAACTAAGTTTACTTTTCCGTCCTCCCCTTCTAACCTAAAAGTTTAAGGATCACGCTCCCTTTTAAAACTTCAACTGAATGAACATCACGTTTCGAAATTGCCAACCCCGTTTATCCCTTAGGTTCTTATTCCATGATTATAACTTTAAAAAAAAAAGTACTTAAAAGCCCTATACCTTTTTCCTTCATCCGTAAGATTTAAGCTCTGAGAACAGAATTGAGGGACCAAAGATAACATCAAATCTGAGGGAAAAGGTGGGGCGGAAGGGTAAGAAGAGTTCGGAACTAGTTGAGCTGAGTGAGGAAAACCGTTAGGCGCAGGTTAGGCTACGGGGCAGGAGGGGGAGGGGCGTGACCTCTGGCCCTAGAGTTCTCACGTCCCCTAAGCGACAGCCTTCCACTCTAACTGCCTCAGCCGGCGGCAGCCATTTTGGCATTGCCTCAGCTCCGCCCCTAGAGCGCCGATAGCTCCGCCTCCCAGCCCGCCTGCGCAGAAACAGGAAGTGGGCTCTCAAACCGAGCTGCTAGGCGGGTCGCCGGTCTGTACCCTGACGGAACGCCGAGTGCCCTCACGTCAGACCCGTGCCGCTGCCCGGGCTGTCGCCTCTCAAGAGAAGTCGTGGGACCATGTCGAATATGGAGAGTATCCTTTCGCGTCTGAAAAGCTGCTGCTCGGGCTTAGTGAAGGGGAGGCAGGGGCTAGGGCCCTGGGAAGAGCTCGGTGGCGGTCATCTTTTAGGTCTAGTTGTGAAGGGGCGAGGTCGCTGACGCCTATTGGTAAGCGCTAGCAGCTTGTTTTGTTTGTTATTGTTTTCTGATAGCCGCCGCCATCCTAGAATCGGGGGACTTGGAACTGTTTTGGTGAGAGGCAGAGTCGCCGAACTGGTTTGAGAACATTCTTCAGCTTGAATCCTCCCTTGTTGAGGGCTTCTGTCACCTGTTCTTTCAGTGGATTTATCCACTGCTTAGAAATAAATCCGGGGGGATGGTGTGGAAACAGAGGCGGCAGGAGTTTGCTAGAGGTTTGGGGTGGAGGTAATAGGTTTAGAATGCAGTAGCTTCTGTGGAACTCCTTCCTTTTTCTGGATGGAGGTGACTGGTAATAAGGTGTAAGTGCTTAATATCAGCCCTCCAAAGTAAGTTGAGTGCGTGTGTGTTAATCTGATTTAGCACATGAGTAAACTCATGTAGTTACTTAAAGTATAAAAATTAACCAGTTGTACCTGCGTTCCCACTTAAGCAACGGGGTTAGGAACCAAGCTGTGTGAAACCCTGAATTGAAGAAGGATGAATTGCTTTCCACAACTGAAATACTGTACTATCACAGGTTTTCCATGTCGCTGTAATTCCTCCCTTTTTCCAGGAGTTGGCATTATAGAAAATAGAGTAAGTTGGTATCTTGCCATTGAATGAAACTTGGCAAAAATGACAAAATGTGAGTAATAGTATTTTATAGCTTATTTTAAAGCTCTTTGCCTTCATTAGTTTGTAAGTCTGAAATATGTCTAGAAAGACTTTTGTGAGAGGATTACATTATATAAACCATACTGGGAGTATTGATAACACATACTGGTGTGAACTATCCAAGATAAACCAAGAATAAAATGTGAGGAGGTGCAGAATAGATCATTTTATGAACAAAGTAGATAAGTAAAAGGCTCAGTTATCACTGCAGTTTAAAGGATATAATTTATGAAAGTGTAGCCCTGTTAGATGATCTTTTAAAGCAGTGTCATAAAGGAAAGACCACTGAAGATCAGTTTCTAATTCCAGTTTTGCCTCTTAAGAAACATGTGAGTTAGAGCGAGTCATATAGTCTCTGCAGTCAAAGATGTCTCATCTGTTCATATACTAACCAACCAGCCAACCTTATAAAGCTGTTACGAAGATAAAATGAAGTGGAGGTGCATACTGAATCATAAAGTTTTGAACAAGCTGTTAATTATTAAGAAATAGAGTATTAATTGCTATGTCTTTCCCCAGAACTTTTGGAAGGATTTGAGGGAATAGCTCTAAAATTGCTTTTTCTACTCTGATAATGCAAATTAATTTTCCTCTACCTAAGCCTACCCTATGTGATTTTCAATAACAAGATAATTGGTTACTAATTTCTTTCACTGAAATTTATGTATGCCTGACCATAATTAAAATTAATAGTACTGTTATCAATAGTTTATACCTTAAAATGAACTGTTAACTACCCTTCAGTCTGTCAGAAGTGAGGAGGTCTTGACTGATATCATGTGCCAATGATTCCTTGGTTCCATTTTGTAGATTCCAGACCTTTTCCTTATAGTAGAGGAGGAAAATGACATACTGACTCAGACCTGTTTTTCATAAATAACTTGAACTGAAACTTGAGTAATATTTATTACCTATGTATAATGCAAAAAATTCATTGTTACAGTATATAAGAAGATTAAATGTGCTAACAATCGAATTAGCATGGTAATTGTGACTTCTTTGTTTGAACAGTTAAAACACTGAATTTATCATGGTGGATTAGATCAAATCTCAATTTAAAGAACTCAGCGGAATGACCAAGTTTATTGTAACATGTTCATATAGGTGTTTTATAAGTTTAGAATTAATAGCAATATGTGTGCATTATTAGTGTTTCAGGAGTAGTGTTTGATTAATTATAGGAGTTATACAATTGAAGAGGAATAATTAAGGATACTTTCCTACTCCCCTACACCATGCTCTTATTTATTTATTTTTGCTTCTCTCTGTTATTACCCCTCATTTTGTTGTTTTGTTGGATCAAGAATGTTTTCAGGAAGTTTTCCATGTCATCTTTCTAATCTAACCCACTGTCTCCAAAAAACTAGAAATCTGAGAGCACCAGTTCCCACCAGTTCCTACTCTGTGGTCCCTTTTCCCCCTATGTTTTCCTTTCCATTTTAGCCATTTTTTCACTATTTTAATCAAATGTTTACTTATTTATCTCTTACATTAGATTGAGTTCCTTGAGGATGGGGTCCTTACTTAGTCTTTGAATCCTCATTTCCTTGCACAGCACTCGGCCATTAGTGGACACAAAGTGGGTAAATTACCTTCTGCTAACAATTCATTATTAACATATATTGAGTCTCTTCTATAGGCTGAGCAATGTAGCCAGGCTGTTGATACAGAGAGTTATAAGACCCATTCCCAACTCTGAGCAACTGTTGATCAAACTAAGCCAGGACACACTTGGGTGGGGATAAATAGCAATATAAGGTAGCACATACTAACTTAGATGAATACTAGAACAGTGATTCTTGATCCCATGTGTGGATTTACTAAACTCCTTGAAATTGTATGCAAAATTTTCTGTGTTAGTATGTGCCTTTTTCTTGGGGGAAATATCTATAGCTGACATCTGTTTTTCCAAGGGATTCTAACCTGAAAAAGGTTGAGAAGCAATGAAGTAGGTAATAGGTACTGCATACATTCTGGGAGTACAGAAAGGGATGTGAACTGGACTGGTATCTTTGTCTCCTTTTGTAGTCTCCCAGACAGATGAGACTGTGTTTTAGTCAAATATTGCTAGCTATCTTAAAAATGTCTGTTAACCACTATAAATGGTTTTATATCCTAAAGCAGAAGTAATTCTCCGACGAAGTCACTGAGGCTTTCCTAGTGTTGACAAATGTGATTTTTTTACCAAGATATTAATAATATTTTATATTTTACCTAACAGTAGTCTTATAATTTATGGACTGGCTAGCTAGTAGAATGTTGTGTCTTATAAGAAGTATTGCAAGTAAAGATTACTTATGGTTCATCATTTAATGCCATTTGAGTACCAATTCTGAGCAATTCACTATGAAGTTAAAATGTAAACAAAAGTTGAGCCAGATTGTGTTCATTTTTATCTTTTATTCAGCAATTGCTCCTCAATTATCCATTTCTAGGCTTCAGTTTTCCCATCTGTAAAATGGGGAAAGTTAAGTGATCTCTAGGGTTCCTTTTTTTTTTTTTAATATGTCTTTATTGATTTCAAGAGAGGGAGGGAGAGATAGAAACATCAATGATGAGAGAGTCATTGATCGGGTACCTCCTGTACACCCCGAACAGGGGATCAAACCCTCAACCGGGGCATGTGCCCTGACGGGGAATGGAACCTTGATCTCCTGGATCCTATGTCGATGCTCAACCTCTGAGCCACACCCGGCCAGGCTCTAGGGTTCCTTTCAGTTCTGATGATCTCCCTGTTTTTCTGTGATCCTCAACTCTACCTTCCAGAAACACACAGGGATGATCAAGATGCAGGTAGCTGAAAAAGGGGAAACTGATATGTCATAACATTTCTCATCAAATGTATGCATAGACATTCTGTGGTATTGGTACCACTGCTTTATTCTGGAGCAGGCAGGCACTAGTGGAACATTTTTATTTTCTTCCTCTTACCTCCTTTTTATTTTTATCCTCTACTTCCCCCTGACCAAAGGATTATATAATCCTACTTTTGGCACTTGGAATCAAAGAGCCTTCTGCCCTACTGTGTTTGAATAACTTACTTTCACTTGGTGTTGCTCCACCCAAACGGACCTGAGATTTTTACTATGAATTTCTTCTAGGAATCTTGAAGCAGATTGAAATCTTAAAGCAAGGCTTGCTTCTCTATACATAATGAATATGTTTAACCCTAATGATTCTTATTTATTTAAATTTTAAAGCAATAATATATTAAGACATAGCTGATTATTATCCTTTGCCTCCCAGTAGTGTAACTGCAAATAAATGAAACCAGATATAATTTTATTTTGTTTTATTTTATTTTAATTTTATTTTATTATTTTATTTTATTTTATTTATTTTTAAATTTTATTTTATTTTATTTATTTTATTTTATTATTTTATTTTATTTTTTATTTTGTTTTATTATTTTATTTTATTATTTTATTTTATTTTA